GGAGCCCGCAGCCCTGCTCCGGGCCTCCCCACCTCGCTGGGCTCCATCTCCGACCTCATCTACAACGCGGCCATCGCCAACCTGGGCGAGCCATAGCCATGGTGGGGGGACCCCCAGCACCAGGGACTCCCCCAGCACCGGGGACCCCTGGCTTAGCACTGCAATTTCACTAGGGTGTGGAATTACCACCGGTCCTGAAGGTCCCAAGGTTGTCATCCAATATCCCAAATACCAGTGCAGCCGTGGTGGGGCCAGCCCCCCATCAGCCCCCTAATACCGACTAATCTTTTGGAAAAAAATACCTTAATCTGAAGCCGTATCCGCGGATGATTGTGGCGCAGCCGCCCCTAATCCGCAGGCACGTTCGCAGGTGCCGGCAGATCTCCCCGTATCGGATATTAAAGCGTGTTTGCAGAGGGGCTTAGCTGCCATCAGAGCATTAATCACCGTGTCTGGCTCTGGCAGGCTGCCCAGCCAGCAGGTGTCCAGGTCAGGGCCAACCTCGGTGCCCCCTCCCCACCACGGGATCATGGGTGCACCCAGCTGGCTCTGCTCGCTGTTCCGCAGCACCCAAGAAGCCCCCCGGCTCTGTGTCGAGGTGCTTCCCCTCCCCACCCACAGAAACTGGGCACCCTTTTGGCAGGGGAGGTAGAACCACGCACCCCACGACAGCCGCATCAGCCCCTGCGCGAGGACGCTGAGCCGCTGCAGACGAAGCTGAGCCAGGTGCCAACCCCAGCGTGGCTGCGTGGGATGCTGTCATCGTCCTGAACCGGAGCGGGGAAAGGGCTCGCCTCCAAACACAAGCTGGGTGGGGTGCTGCCGTGTGGGTCACAAGGGACGAACGCTCTCCTGAGAGCGGGCAAGGGAGCAGGCAGGAGCAGCACTGGCAGGCAAAGACAGGTTTTGGTGGGAGCAGGATGCAGAGGGAGAGGGGAGATCCAGGGCTCTCTGAGGTGTCTTAGATGACGAGTTGGCGTCACGCATAGCAACAGCCATCTCCCGTCAGGCAGGAAGAAGAACACAAACCCACAGTGTTATTTATTTCCAGAATAAAAAGACAGCAACTTCACAGGAGAACAGGAAGGTGGGGAGCTAATGTCCTCTCTGTGCTGGGGTGGTGAGAGTCCACAGAAGACTGTTCTGCAGTTGTGGGATTTTTAATCCATAATTCGTTTCAGGAACGTTAAGGAGCGGGAAGCAAAGGACGAGGCCTGAGGAATGCAGCAGTCCTCCTGGTAGCAGGAACAGGTACAGACAGATGGTAGAAGATAAACCTGCCCCAAATTAATGACTCCTGGGGAAGGCAAAAGCCTCCAGCACGAGGGACGCAGTTCACAGGGACGTGTGTGATTACAGTTTCCCAAGGTCCCCTTCAAGGGTCCGCACCATTACGTACAGCTCGGCCAAGCCAACCACTGAGGCCACGATTACCGCTGACAGGACGCGCTGGGGACACAAAAAGAGAGATAAGGGACCCTGCGCGTGCCGTGGAGCTGCCACTCCTGCCTGGCCGGCACAGGGTACGCCGCAAGCATGCTCCGAGACCGTGGGCTCACTCACCGCCGCGGTCTCCATGAAGATGTACTGGCTGCCCAGGTATGCGCAGGCGAAGGCAGCCACCACGGTGACAATGAAGTTGAATATGGTGATGACAACGGCTTTAACAGAGCGAACTGGACAGGAAGGAGAAAGACGACTGCTTTTAGGTAAGGCTTGGAGAACAGGGCTGGGGACAAACTGCAATCCTGCTAAAGGATCCTGCCTAGGGCTGCCTCAGCTGGGCCACAGGAATACCGGAGGATTCACATGCTTTACGCCTCCAGAAATATTTATAAGAATGACCAACAGGCTGCCCCTTCACTCGAGGAACACTTTTGTGCACTAAAACCTACTGGTGAGACACTTGGAGAGGGAAGGGCTGCCTGATGTCAACAGCTAGTGCTGCGACAGTTCCCGTGCCTGACCCGTAGGTACATGCTGCCAGCTGTCGGCAGGACAGGCAGCCACTCACCTTGTCTCCCAAATTCAGCCAATGTCCCGTTCATCTCCTAAAAGAAGGGATTAAAACAACTTGTGATCCGTTGTGTTTTAATGTTAATTGCATAATAAAAGCAACACCAACGCCCTGTCCCTAAGATTCAGAAGTTCAGGGAGCTGCTGGGAGGCCCTGGCAGCAGGCGGGGTGCGGGGGAGCAGTTCCACAGTGACCCGGTTCCTCTGGGTTTTTGCTTGTGGTCTGATTCAAGGACATTGAGAAGGGATCATTCCTAATCAAAACTCTTCTCAGAGTGTGAGTGTTTTCTGGCATTTGGGTTCTCTGCTGCAGGTTTGTCTCTATTAGAGACACTCGAGGGTCTCACCTTGTCATCCGTGTTCACACAGCTGGCAAGAACTCAATGTTGCAAAGCTCTGCACACTCTTTGTCAAATCAGACATGGTTACACAATTTCAAACACCAGATACCGGGGGGAGGCAGGGAAGAATGTGATAAGCACACAGATATGGGAATACTCCCCTGCTTCTCCCCTGTTTGGAAGGAACGCTGCTGTCATTACTACCCAGCTCTGCTAAAACCACTCTGGTTCATAGGTGAAGCGGCCAACATTGACAGACAGCAAAGCAGATCTTCCCACAGGAGTTAACGCAACAGGAAGATACATGCAGGGACTTAAACGCACAGGGATGCCAGACACAGTGTGGAGGAGGAAGGGCAGGACGGGATCACAACGAACGCCAGCAGGAAGGGATGCTGGCTTGTCCCAACTGTCACTGTGCCAAAAGATCTCAGCTCCTCCTCAGAAAGAACAAGTGCCCAAATATTACCCTCTTTTTTTCAGCTTTTAACTTGACATGAATGATCTCATTTTAAAACTATGACAAAAATGTAACTGTTCAGAAAAAGGCAGCACAGATGTTCCCAGTAAAACATTTACCGTAGGTGCTCAGTCTTCCAGATCAAAACCTGAGAACTTTGGCACAGTGAGCTGTTCCCAAAAGTCAGTATCTCATAGCCCTGTCCTACCTCTGCCCTCAACACTGTATCGGTTGTCCCCCTGCATTTACAGTGTGTACTCCTCAGGTCCCCGCCCATGTTCCCTCTGTACTGCACTCACTCTAGGGAGCAAATTTCCTTCGCTCTCTGTAGGTTGCTAATGAATGGCCATGCTTTTAAGGAATGAATTCTGACAGCAGGCCATGCAGTAGGCCCCTCACCTGGCCGGTGATGTTGCGGGTCATCCGCCGGTACTCCTCGTTGGCCAGCTTGGCTTTTATCCGCTCCAGCCGGGCCACCAGCTCGGGGTTCTGGGGGAAGGGCAGAACCACCGTGAGGGCCGGGGGCC